GGTTCCCTTGGTCGGAAAGTCCAAACACCTCTTTTCACGACAAGAAGTGCATAATCCAACCAGCAGACAAAACTGCAAGGGAATTCTATCTCTTAGTGAGGAAGTCCAGGATTAGTAAGCGCATTTTGGCGTTGTGCACCGTCAATCATCAGCTATACATGCGTAGAAGGAAGTCTGACTCCATCGAAGTGCAGTAGATTAAGATTCAGGCGAAAAGAGACATGATTTAGAGGAGGCAAATTTGCCTTGATGGCGGTCGAGTCCCTGAATCCTTCACAATGGAAGGATTTAGACTGACGTCTGCATTTGTTTTCATCTTGTTCCCGTGTTCCACAGACAAGCTATTAACAACTGAAGCGACACCGCCGTGAATCATCTGGAGAAGTTTCGTGCCGGAATTTCCCATACAAAATCCGTGTTTTTTTATCTGTTGGACTTGACACCATGGTCCTCCTTACATACGGGACAGTCACTCATCCCGTTTCTCCTGTAACATATATATTTTGGACCAGAATTGCACCATCTGTTCCTGGAGGCAATTGATGGTCAACAGGTGTGTGCGGCCTCGAATCTGGTTGTCAGACCGAACGTAACTCCAGATTCAGTTGAAGCTGCCGAGAAGATCAGGTACGGTTCCTCAGTCTCATGCTATCTGTCGACTGGCGCGGTTGACTCGTGGATGCTTTCTTGTAGTACCGAATATGTTGTGATGTCTGGCGTGAAAGGTGTACAAGGAGGAGCACCAAGGCCGTCGCTCAAAGAAGAGAAGCAGTGTAATACTTTGTTTGTATGACTACCATACTTTTGGCGGTCACTTTAGAAGTTGTCTGTCCTCTGTGCGCATGGGCTGGCCTTAGGGCCACGCCAGACCCAATTTGCCCTGCCGTATTCGAAATACATGTATTCAACATCAGTTATGCCTTCTTTCACCTTATGGGAAGCCTCGAGGCTTTACATTTGGGACCGGATACATGTACTCACGGGAGGAAGAGTAGGGAATATGCATGGACTTGGCTAGAAGGCCAGCTCACGCACAAAAGGTCAAGACGAACCACAAACCCTCCGTTAAACATCAGGTGATCACATATGGAAAGCATTGCATCGTCAATCATACAGGCGGTCAATCAACCAAAACGCTGCGCACTCAAAAATGTGCAGATTTTCGGATAAATTATTAAGAGGAGAATTTGCTCCTACCATGCCTCGCTGCATAGTTCGCACTTCAGACTAGACTGGCCGTAGCTTCACTGGAAACCACATTTCAGATACGCCAAGACAAGACGTTAGCGAGGCTGTAAAACATATTGACATGCTGTAATATAACAGGACAATTGGCAGAACTCTTTAACGATTGCGGCAAGGTAAAAGCTATGCAAAATATATAAAATCTTGCTTGCTTAACAAAGTTTATTGCAACTAATTTGGTTTTATAACTTTAAGCATTTTGCTTGGCTTAAAAATTTTAATATTGATTTTGGTTTTCTTTTAAATGTTTCGAATGCATCACTTGAATTATCAAGCTGAAAGCGCCTTATGAGTGTTCTACAGGTCGTGTGCATCCCACGCTGCGTATGTCTCGAGTCAACATCATCATAGTAGTCGGGAGCACTTCCCATGTTCCCGATACGGCAACCCTTGTTTCGCACATTAAAGATGGTAATTTGGTTATATATGTCTGTCTTAATTCCTCGACTCTTCAATTGTCTCAGGAGTAGCTTTCTAATTTTCAGATTTTGGCATAGTGATGTGTGCTGATTTTGCTAATTTCAGCTGATAATTGGAAATACTAGTTCTCATCAATTGCAAGAGTTGCTTTTTATGTGCTTCATTGAGAAAAAACTAGGTTTTTAAATGTGCTTGCGCGCTTCTTTTCGCCAAATTGTTTTGTTAAATTCTGAGCCTGGATATCGACCTCCCGCCATTCTTTGTAGGACTGGCAACAATTCCGCACTTTGATTCACTAAGAATAAACGAAATTTTGAATTCTGTTGATGGTCTTGTTCCACTGGCTGATGGAGGTTAGTTGGTAACTTACCTCATCGCTTCCATTTTGTTGTTTTCTTTGTGTACATCTTTATTTTGCATTTCAGGTCCTCAGCGCCTTGCAACAGTTGAAAAGAATTGTAAGTTTTGCAATGCTTAGGAGACTTACGCTGTCTTTATTCCATCTTTCAGGTCTGAAATTCACTTCTCCTGAAGCAAATGTCGTCGTGCTGCAGGACACCACCGTTGAATATGTTTTGGAAGAATTGACCAACGCTCTCAACTTGCTTCCCCATCTAATAGCCCTTGTGTATACTGGGGTCATTTGTCAGGCCAGTGGTTATTGGGTCCTTTCTGATGCCGTTCTAAAGCCAGACTATGTGACTGAAAGGATTTCTTTGCTCTCTGAAATATTTCATCAATCACTGGTATGGTTGATTTTTGCCATTATCTCCCTGTGCCTAGGCTGATACGACAAAGGAGTCCATGCCTTCAGTTAGTCTCCACATTGCATGTTCTAGCTTGCCCTCCGGCGGCGAATGGCGTCATGTTTTATCAAGTCGTCTTCCGTCTACCATAGCTGGCTGTCCTCTCCATATCACAGTGAATCGCCTTCATGCTCCTGCTAAAAAGACACCTGTGGGCGTTTCTGCTAAGCCTGAACTAGCTCCTTTGCCCACTGACCTTTCTGGTGAGCCAAGTAACTTTCTATTGAATATCCTTTTGCCTCTTTGGAGATTGTGCTGGGACTGTTAGGTCTTTCTATCGATGCCACCGAATAATTTTTTGCTCATCTTTGCCACACAAGCAGAATTGTCATCGAATTCGATGGAAGTCTTTGAATATCTTTGTCTCTTCTTACCCTTTTAATTGTTGACTACCTAAAGCTATGAAGGGTATTGAGTTAAACCTCTGCTTACATTTTTTCACTTATCCGTCACTGTCCCCATTTTTACATCAGCCCAAAGATTTAATTCCCTTTGTGCCTTTGTTTACAGGCCCTCACTGTTACTGAAACGCTCTCCATATTTCTGATAACGTTGCATGAAACGTTAGAATATTGCGTACGCACTTAATGGTTAAGATCAAATAGTTAACTTTCATTGAATTGAAACCTGGTTCTGACGGGTCTTAAACTAAGCCATGCTTGGTAGATGCCTAAGATGGTTTGTCAATGCATCGACTGGACTAATCCTGGTGTTATTATTTGACACAAATAGGTGTAGAGGCTTTCTGTCAACGTTTGGAACCGATGATTCCAAAACCGGTACCGCCAACTACCTGCCAACCAGGAGCTAAAACAAACGGCTGCTCTATTCGTGTCCAACACCCCTGTCTCTACATCTTTCCCGAGGGTTCTGGCCAATCAGCAATCTTCGCACTGCCTGGGTTTACCTTGATGGTCAACGCGGGATGCTCGTGGGAGCCAAAGTGTTGGAAGATGGCTCAATATCTGGAGAAGTAAATTGTTTGTCTAATGCTTCGTCTCTGGCATTGTAAGGACGGTCATGCGACTAGATTTTGCATGCATACACCCATGCTGATGATACCAAAACCTCAGTGACATGTAGAGATGGCTTTTAGCGGTGACTACAGTGCTTAATGCTACGCTACTGTGCTGTGTAGCATAAAGGGCACGCTTCATCCCAATGTAAGGATTGGATCAGGTTCCTTAATTCCGAAATGGGAGATTGACAGGCTCTGCCCGTTCTGTGTTTACTCAAATTATTTTTGTCGCTCTGTCATCAATTCATATCCGTTAGGTTACAACAGATTCATCTAACTGTTAAGCCATTCTTTTTTTTTTTTGTTAAGGGGGTCTAGACTTATGTCAAACATATCATTTCTCCCCCTTTCATGGTATAGGCCCTCTAATATCCTATTGAGCACGAGAACCTTATGCCTCGTTAGCCGTTTTCCTTGCGACTTTGTAGCCCCTGTGATACACTCACAGAGTCTTTGATTTTGATAAAAAATTTGCATTTTTCTTTGAAAATTTCAGCCGTTCAACAGCTGAAGTCGTAATAATTTGCATTTTCCTATGCCCTTCCTCCTGAGGTTATAACTAAAATATTTGGCAGGAAGTCATGGCATTGGTTTATGGTAGTCAAAACACAGGGTCCGCGGAAGTAATGCGAAGGATACTACTACTACATGGATCATTTACCGATTCTTCGCGTGGTTGCGCTTTGACTTCAGTTGTAAGGGCGTCTTCCCTAACTGGGGTCCACTAGAAGGTGTTTACACGAAATGCCATCTATTGCAGCAGTGGTGACTCATTCTGTGGAAACTCTCGAAGCGCTTAAATACCCCATTTCTTGTAAGGCGGACGCCGTCATTGGGGGGGGGGGGGG